ACCGAATTCCTGACGTTTACCAATTCCTTACACGAGAAAATTTATTTTGCTTTGGAGAAGGGGATACCTTACCGTTTTTTGATCTTCTGCTAGTTAGGAAAAGTAAAAGAATTGAATTTGAGAGTTTCAGAAAGGCCACATCCGCTGACAAATTTTCTCCATATTCTTATAAATTTGCTGCTTTTAATTCTTTCTTCTACACGCTTTTTAACATTCCACTTTCAAAGGAAGCATTTAATAAGGAATTGCTACATTAGACCAATTGCATTCAAAAAAGGTTATCCACTTTATCCCATCAACAAATTATTTTACAAATTTGAAAACAAATACCAGTTATCGTATTACATAATAAAATCAAAATCTACGCTAGTTCCAATGCTTGACTTTTTCGGAAATATTTCGTTACACCTAGCTAGATTGTTTAAGAGCAGGAATTTATCTATAGCGTGTAAAAAAAACAATACATTAAAACAATTTGCAATAATAGTTAAGGGTCCGATAGAGTATTTTTCTAGATCAGGAGTATATTTTTTCTAGCAGAAAGATCTCCGTCAGGGTTCACAAACATCTCAGTTCGGTGAAAAAATACAAGGACACTGAGACGACAGAAACCAGATCTGCTTTCGCTACTTATCTTTTGTCCACAGGACATAACTTTTCTCCAAATAAAAATGTCACTATTTTATATGAGTGTCCGAAAAGTAGAAAGCTTGATCTTCTAGAGAAATTAAAAATTACCAAAGCCAATTGCGGCAATGACGTTTTTAATTCTGAGCCGACATTAGTTTTCAAAATATAAATTGCAGGTCTCCAGTTAGGTGTTTTTTTTAATATTTTTATATTTTTTATTTCTTAACCGCAACATCAAACGGATTCGGTCTCATTCCAATTTGTGTCTGTGTGCTTCTGAGTTGTCCTCTTTATATGTGCGTATTATTAATTTGTATAAGTTATTTTATTGCCCGTGCATTCAATTTATCTTGATAACATTTTAATTGGCTGTAATTTTTTTGTTTTTTGAGACATCAAAATAAACAAAAAAACAAAATGTTGGGTTGGGTGCCAAGTTTTTTTCCAAGTGACGTATAAAACAAAACACTATCAATTTTATGACATATAAGCCAATATCATATTTCTTTTAATGAAACAAACTGTATATTATAATGGTGCTTCATAGAATTACTTATTCCGATAACAATGATGTAACACAGTTTATATTTTAGTCCACTCGTCTTTGCAAAATCGGCAAAAATAGGAAATTTTCATAAAATTTCAAAGAGTGCCCTGACTGACTAATAAACTTATGTTTATGTTTGACATATTAGTAAACAAAGTGATGGTTGAGTTATTGTCCAAGCCATTATTGTTAAAATGGTTTTTCGCGAATTTAGCATCCGTGAAAGGTGAAAGTATACTTTCTGAATAATAAAATTGCAACCGCAGCTCATCGTCAGTATATTAGACTTTATCCAGAACGCTGAGCTCATTCAAAACAGATATTTGCAAGGCTCGCAAAGAAATTTGCGGAAAACGGTAACGTATTAAATGCTAAAAAGGTATACCGGAATCATAATGTTCTAAATAATTAAAATAAGTCAAATATATTAGCATTCTATGAAGCACATCCAGTTTCCTCTATGGCCACGCACCTCCTGGTCTAAACAATATAAAAGAAAAAAAAAGAGAAATAATTATGGTAAGAAAGAGGGAAAAAAAGGTAAATAAAAAAATAAATAGATTAAAAAAAAAAGGATTTAATTTCTTGCAAAAGTGGGTCGCTGGGTGCTTGCAAATTAGTTACCCGTAGTGCTCAGAGTTCTGGAGCGATGGCGGGGGTCCACGAATAATAAAGAAAATATAGCACTATTTATCCTTAAGGCGCCAGGAAGTGGCAGACCTTCCAGTCTCTCAAATGGTTTGAGGAACCCGATGTTTTGCAAAAAAAAGAGAACATTAACGATGAAATCTACTATCTACAATCGATAAAAGTTAGTCGTGAAGGTTAAGGGGACAAAAAAAATAAAAGATGAAAACTGATCTACGTTATTTAATACGTACGCGACGTATGGATCTAAACCCCGCAAAATTTCATTGCCGTCTCCGTAACAAGTCCGTTTAATACGAAATTCCCAAAATAATAGAAATACAAAAAAAATCAAATTCTCTTAGGTGATCACCACAGGCTAACAGGGGCAATATAGGTAACTATTAACAACTCAACGATCAAACTCGGTATTACTGGTACGTCAACTTCCCGCAAGTAATTATTTATAAATTTTCAAAGCATTTGTACACAATTTTTTTTTTTCGATAGTAAAACCACATTATTATTGAATCTCCGTGTCGGTACCGCAAACAAAACTATCAATTAAATGACCGAGCGTAACAAAAACGGAAAACGAATAAAAAGAGTATGCCTAACAATATCTCGCGAAGCGCTTACATCGAATTGGACGTCACCTCGTTTATTCCCGAACAGTGCAGCCTACAGGGGGTGTCTGGCTTCGCGTTGATCTATTAAGTGCTCCAATATCCAGAGAACACAGGAACATCGAAGTTTATATCCTCCCAGAATACGTCATTAAGGAAGCCTCCAAAACGCGAGCCCTCCTAAAGGGGGTACGGGTGCTCTAAGGCGAGTACAGTGCTCCAAGGACAATACAGGGCTCCAAGGAGAGTGCGGGTGCTTCAACGAGAGTACGGGAGTTCCAAGGAGAGTACGGGTGTTCCAAGGATCCCCGGTGGATGTTCGTGAGGGTGAACGCTAGGTAGGCAACAGGTAGCAGTCACATCCTTTTACAGAGTAAGTGCGGGCAGTTCTCCAAACAAACCAAAAATACGAACAGCAACGGAATCTCCAAGTCGCTGACCACACATCTAAGTGAATTTAACCCTATATCCGCAAAGCGATGGCTGAAGAAAAAGCCGGTAGGTTAATCGCTTTTTGGCTAGTTACCACACTGTTCTTCTACCGAAACAGGAAAACGATATCATACCACGCATGTCGCTCGGAGCCAGGAGTGAGAAAGATAAATAGAGTACTTCCTCAGATATTCGAGAGAGATGCCGGAACGGAGAGAAATCACGGAACTTGGTGCATAAGGTCATACGCCCAATGGTACTAGCGATACGAATCTATTTCTCGAATGAATTATTTATTCAAAGAGAATATGTACATATTTATTCCGCTGTCGGGTTGACTTAATTCTTTATTGATAAAAGGGTATAGTTTTAAGGAGACCATTTATTAGGAAGTGTGTATTTGAAACATTAATAATAACAACTAAATAAAGCGAATTAAATTACGACTTTCTTAGCCTAGTAGCGCTGTCGTAGACGTTAGAGCAAATCAGGTGTTTGCCGCTGAGGCAGGAAAAAAGAGCGCTTAGAATTTAAAATGTAGACGCGGAACTACCGGATCGTATTCCAGTAAAATAACAATTCTAAAGTGTTACACTATTACTAGAGTACATGGAGGGACAGGTATGTCTCGGGAATCAATCCACTAAATTTTGAAAGAATATCAATATAATGCATTTAAATTTCGTAAAACTCAAAAACTAAGTGCAGAAAATTGTCAAACGAGGATGCAATTTTGTTCGGATTTTTTTAAATAGACATAATGAGAATAATAATTTTTTGGAAAATATTTTATGGACTGACGAAAGTTCATTTCACTACAAGAAAGGGTTGTAATAGACATAATACGTGTTATTAGTCTTTAAATAATACTAGAGAAATACAAGAAATAAAAACCCAGGAGTACCAATCAGTTAATGTATGGTATGGTGTCATAAATGGGCATAACTGAAAATGAGTTAACTGAAGATCATAATTTGCAACTCTTAGCAAATCAAAAATATTAACCGAAAATGGGGGGCTGAAGACGTTGATGTGCATTTTCTATAAAAACATGAACCTTCTCGGATCAACATAAGTTGAGAAATAACTTTAAATGTAAGTTATCACAGTAGACAGTTGAGGCACCAAATAAAACAATATATAGAAGATTTATCCCTAAAGACGGTGCCCCTCCTCACAGTGTGGTGTAAATTAAAAATCCAATATCCCAGGGGTTGGATAGGGCGGAACTATTAATGGTCAGCCAACAGCCCCGACTTAACTTTAATGGATTTTTTTGTTTTGGGGAAACATAAAAAATCACGTGCACAGAACTCCTTATAACAACGTCGTGCAACTTCGGGAAAGGATTTCAGAGGCAATCAACCCGTTAAGACATCATACAGTTACGGTGTATAAGAAATGTGTCCAGGAAAATAGTGGTCACCTACAGCAATATTTAGAATAGTTAAAGAATTTTTTACTTTAGTGTGCCTTGCCATTTTTAGTGTTTTTGTTCTACTTTAATTCGTAAATACTTATTATTGTTGCAGTCAGTTACGGCACTCTTTGAAATTGTATAAAAATTTCCTATTTTTGCCGATTTGTCAAAAACGAGTGGACTAAAATATAAAATATAATTGTATTCGGAATAAGATATTCTATTAAACACATATAGACTATACAAACCTTCAAATCTTAAATCACCTTGCTTATGAAGGTGTCAAGTATAAATCAAAACCGTATGCTGAGACTGTGTTTCGATCGCCAGCTAACCCTGATAAATGTAGAAATGTAAAAAATTATAAACAATAAATAAGTTTCAAAGTTTCAGTTCAAATGATATAAACACAATTATCCAACTTCCTAATTTAATATTTATATTAGTTTATTTTGAATATCATAAAAACAAAATGACTTGCTAAGTTTTAACAGGCCGCCTTAATATGCGTTATATAATATTACAAAATTTCATGGGAACCATTAACTTTACTTATCAGCCAATCTGCCCCGCCATATTTCTAAAAATTCATTTCAGTTCAACTTCCATTTTCAATAAACTATATACGATTGATCCCATAAATCACAGAACCTTTTTTTACGGAATATGATTGTTTTTTCTTAAGAAAATTAAATACTGTAGGTTTCGTATTACTTACTCGTCTAATCAAAATGGCTCGTCCATCGTAGGTCACAAATATCAGTACCAGAACGTGACACACTGAAACTAGCGCTCCCAAAACAGTGGCCCGCCAGTTTGTCTGTATGCTGAAGAAGACATAGCACGAGATAACCAGTAGATTCGTGTACGCTGGTGCGTATCGGGTAACGTTGTCAGTTTTATTCAAATGATGGTAAATCGGAACAAAAAAGTTAGTGAAAATTATCATGGCAAAGGCAACGACGCAAAAATACTGCCACTTTTTGTTCCTCTTGTGGACCGTCTCGATGAGAATCAGAGCCGTCACCGAGAATATCACTAACATGGCGTAGAGAGCCAAGTCAGGCGCCAGAGCCAGCAGTTTGTCCTGAAAAGTATCAATTTGAATTTAGAATCTTCTTAGCTATAGACTATAGGTCGCAGATTCTGTGAAAAATTATATAATTATAGATTCTATAATTATAATATTAAGAAACTTCCACAGGCTACTGTAATACTTTTTACAAAACTTCTGGATTCCTCCTGCGTCGGTTTTTGTTGAGTCAACCTTGCTCACGTTTGGCTTCTTCAGAGCTAAATTGAAACTTGCTCTGTACTTGCTTATATATTGTTTGAGGGGGGCGGAGCTAAAGGAGGGGCATAAACACCGTCTCGGATGACTGATTCCCATATTGGTGGCAGGTAAAGATCGAGGTAGCGGTTAAAATTGTTAGGTTGCTTATAGGTTTCTATAGACTCTCGTTGGTAGAAGAATTGATTACATGCAAGAAGTTTAATTTTATCGAATAACATTTTATGTCCGGTTTCGTGATTGTGTTCGATAACTCCTGATGCTGTAAACTGCTGGCAGCTCAAATGGAATTTTGTCTTTGACGAATCGAATATGTTGAGAGATTTTTGGACAAGTGGTAAATCTGGTTTTCACTCAACAAAATCCGACACACGAGGAATTCAGAAGTTTTGTAAAAAGTAAGATTTTTTCTTATTTGTACAAAAATAAAAATGCAAAACTTAGATTCTCAATTAAGATGCGTGAAGAATATAGAAAAACAATCTGTTTGCGTAGCAAGTTTGACTGTCAATTTTTTTTTTTAAATTGTGGTTAAATTATTCACTATTCACTACAACATTTATTTACAAAGCAATCGTAACCTAAAATTTTGAAAAGTTAACGATTTAGGTATAGGACATATTCATTCATAAATTTTTTTTAGGCTATAGCCGTATATAAAATAAAATTGTATTCACTTATGTGAAAACTTACAATATGGCTAAAAAGTTCCTCCAACAGAAAGAGATACAAAATAAAATAACATTGAACACACTCTGGAATACATTTTTTTATTAATTTTGTAAACAATACTTTTCTATTACTATTACATTTTGGCATTGATCAAGGTAAACAAAAAAACGAAATGTAGGGTTAGTAGCCAAGTTTTTCCCAAGTAACGTACAAAACAAAACACTATCAATTTTCTGACATATAAGCCTACATCATATTTTTTAAATTTAACACCTTGTATAATATGTACGTGTTTAATAGAATATCTTATTCCTATTTCCTACAAAGAATACACATGAGACATTTATCATTGTTAGCTGGCGATCGAAACACAGTCTCAGCATACGGTTTTGATTTATACTTGATACTTGCAAAGGTGATTTAAGATTTGAAGGATTGTATATTCTATAAGTGTTTAATAGAATATCTTATTCCGAATACAATGATGTGACACACTCGTTGACAAATCGGTAAAAATAGGAAATTTTTATATAATTTCACAGAGTGGACTGACTGCAACAGCAATAATTATTTACAAATTAAAGTAGAACAAAAACACTAAGACTAATTGTATGATGTCCTGCATTTAGTTTTCGGATTTGCCGAAGTCTTAAGACATTATTGCAAAGAGTCCTGTGCACGTGATTTTTTAGTGGGGGCTGTTGGCTGGCCAATCCATAGTTCCGCCGTTCTCTATCCATCCACTGGGATATTCCATGTTAAGAAAATTTTTAACTTGCATTACATTATAAGGAGGACACCGTCTTGCTGCCATATAATCAACGCTGATATAAATAGGGGTAAATCTTCTAAAAATTGTTCTATTTGCTGCTCTGAAAGTTGCCCATCTATGATACCACAACATACATTAATTGATGGCACCCCTGGGTTTTTATTTCGTGTATTTGTCTAGGATTATTTAAAGACCAATCTCGTGTATTTTGTTTATTACAGTCCTTTCTTGTAGTGAACGAAGTTTCACCAGTCCATGAAATGTTTTTGAAAAAATTATTATTCTCATTATGTCTAATTAAAAAATCCAAACAAAACTGCATCCTCCTTTGACATTATTCTGCATTTAGTTTTTGAGTTTTACGAAATTTAAATGCATTTTATTTATGTTCTTTCAAAATTGAGTGGATTGATCCCCGAGAAATACCTGTCTCTTCATATAATGGACGACACTGGATGTGCTTCATAGAATCTTAATATATGTGCCTTATTTTAGTCTTTTGAAACATTATGATTCCGGAATACCTTTTTAGCATTTCATACATTACCGTTTTCTGCAATTTCTTTGCCCGCCGTGCAAATATCTGTTTTGAATGAGTTCGGCGCTCACTTTTATTATTCAGAAAGTATACTTGAAGCATATTACTCCTTTCACGGTTGCTAAATTCGAGAAAAACTTTAAATATTCTATTAAACACATGTATAATATACAGGCTGTTCCATTCTAAAAAATATGATGTAGGCTACTAACTCTACATTTTGTTTTTTTGTTTACCTGGATAGCTCTAAAAACAATAAAGTTACAGCCAATTAAAATGTTATCGAGATAAATTGAACGCACATTGACCCATGTATTTGTTTCTCCCTTTGAAATGTAATTAAGCAGAGTTTCTGAATCTTCCATATGTATTTAAAGAGCACACGGAAATAACGATCTAAGTGCAAAATATGAAAAAGTAGTTCAGCATCCGAATTTTATTTCGTCTATAGTAATCCGTGGACAGAAGGTACAATGAAAGAGCGATCTCAATAGGTGTCATGGTGAATGACGTTAAGTTTACTCATTTATTGACGAAAAAAAATTTTTCTTCTTTGCAGGAACTATAAGGCAACAACCCTTAAGAGGAAAGAGAAAATCGTATCGTATCTCCAAAAGCAACAAAAGAGCGAGGTCACGGAAGTGTAAACAAAATTCGTTTTGGAGCCAGATCGTTTTTTCATATCTTTTTATGTAGTTATATGTTTTTTTCAATATTTTTGGTAATCACTGTAGTCCAGTAAAGACAAATACAGATTCCGTTGTTTCACACTTTCAAACTTTAAAAAGGTTTTATGTTGAAGATTTCCCAGAGTGAAAGATCGTTTTTTCCAATCCAATTCCAGTTCTTGCAATTTGATTATTTGATTTTTTTTTACAATTACTACTTTTTATTACGCTTTTAGGTGCTATGTAAGAATGAACGTGCTTCTAGGAACATACAATTTAATAAACCCATATATTTTGAGTGCGTATTGTGAGATGCGCAGCATGTCAATCACTACACTCATACTTGACAGATCACCGATAAATAGCAATAAATTTCAAATAAAGCGACAGGACCGCTTACCTTGTGGTGCAAATTCTCGAACACGAGGACGGCCACGTGCGTCGAAAACAACAGGAAAATCAAAATCAAAAACAACGCGAAGTATCCGAATTGTATTTTCTCGGTGTACCTCTCGAACAGTCTGTGCAACTCGAGCGTCTCGAACTGCTTCTGAAACGGAAAACGCAATTATCGATGAGTTACCGCAAAACCAACGGCATATTCACGGTCATGGTATTTTGAGGAAAACTCCCGAAAAATTTTGCGCTGCTTAACCATATCATTCGCCTATTATTTCTGGAGTGTTTATTTATTAATAACGGTACGGACCGTCAGATAAACTAAACTACTGATAACGTTTCGCACAAAGACAACCGATAAGAAATTGGTTATCAATTTTTATCGGGGAAAAGAATTCTGTCGGACCGATCACTTTTGTCATTTTCGATTGGTACTCGAACGCGGCAAATTCTTCCACGTCATCGGCTCACCCTTAGATATGGTATCGTCCATTTCTTTTCGTCGTACGCGTTTACGGTTTTCGTAAAAATTTCCCAAAAGGAATCGTCGTCGTCGCTCATCAGGCTGCCCGACAGTTTCTTCTCGTTAGACGCGAAGTTCATTTTAAAGGTGGGAATCCTGAAATATAAACCATATGGTTCAGTAATAAGTAATACGAGCCGAATGGTAAAGTCTGTTCATAGATATAAGAAAGTGACTAATAGACACGAATTAGGGAAAGACCCGGGCAAGCTGTAAGAATGAAATATGGCCGAACAGGTCCGTACTTTGCTTAGAATTTAATTATTTGGGGCTTTGTTAGGAAAGATATTAAACAATATTAATTTATTTATGTATGTATTTAAGTTTAAATCTAAAATAAAATTACAAATTATTTTTATTACCTACTTACATTACTTAAAATTATTCACATAATATATCATTATCACTATCGCTATCATCGCCTGTTCTAATTATTATTTGTTCTATATTATTTGCAATATGGATATACGATTGTCCTGCTTTTTCTATTATACGTTTAACAGAATTTGACCAACTTTCAAATAAATCAGCGGTGGTGTCTTCATGGTAATCCAGAGAACAATCTTTAATATTTTTCGCAGACAGAGAAAGTCCATTTGGAATCCAACCATCTTTAGAGCCAGCATGCAAAATAGTTATTCTTTTACCTCTTTTTGATGACGCGTTTGTTTTACACTTATCAGTTGGGTCAACCCAACCCCTTTCCGGGGTATCATAAGTGTGGAACCAAGTTTCATCCAAGTAAATAATTGGCCATTGTGTTGAATACACTTCCATAAGGTAGTTCTGCCGCATTTAACACCGGTTTCATCTTTTTCAAGCCTCCTAATTAAGATATCCAATGTAGGCACGCTTTGTTCCTCGTATAACTGGTAAATTTTACGCCGTATTATATATTGAGCACTTTCATCTACACTCGAGAAAATGTCAGCATCATTCGATGAAATGGGATTATTCACAATTTTCCATACAGTTGATGTTGGAATTTTCGTCAATGTGGCCGTTTCTTCTAAAGATGGCACCACGTTCAATGAGAGTCAAATAAACACTATTTATAACTTCCTTAGTCTCAATAGAATAGTGTTTTCTACATTTGGGCGGGAGCATCTCCTGAGATACACTATACCCACACTTATTTTGCATAATTCGCACACGATTCAACACACGCTGTATTACACACGAAATAAGAATGATTACTAATAAACTTATACTAAGTAGTATACCAAACCAAAAAATATTAAACACAGGTAGGTATAAAATTATTTTCTATTACGGACGACAATTTTACCTGAATTTAAATTCCGAAACTTTAGGTAATAATCTTGTTGAATTGTATGGTAATGACAACCCTTGAATAATCCCATTCAAAAGCAATTGGTCACTTTCTTGTATCTATGAACAGACCATACCACCTAAGTAAACTCAAAACGTGTTAAAACTTAAACCAATGTTTTTTAAACGATTATTATTTATTTATGTCTGGTGGAAGCGAAAATTAATTTGCTGAGTACGTCTGGAGATACCGTCAAATATAATGCCTAAGATATCAACGGCAGGCCAACCCTTTAAAGCCAATCAGGGAGTACTGGACTTAAGCATTTAAGGGGAACGCCAAAAGAAGGAAGTATATTCTCAGGGCAATTAAGAGCTGCGGAAGAATTCTGGAAAGGAAGCAACACGTGCGGAAGAGGAGAATTTATATATTGTCTTACATTTTTCTACGTATTTATTATATATATTTATTTATCAAGGGTAAAGAATATATTTTGGTGAATAACCTAGACTACCCAATTATACACCCCCCAAACATGCGGAAAGTGCTGCCGTTTTCAGTAGATCTTGGCCACCGTTAAGGAAAAGAGAGATTGACAACTGAGTGATTGAAAAATTGAGTGGTTTACGATTGAGTGGTGTTTTATTTTTTAAACAAAATTTAATATTCCTTCACAACACCAACATGGTTTTCGTAATAACTTTTAAAAAGTCGTTTGTGATAAAGTTCCCTATTTAGCCGCCAGTAGCCAAATGAATAATTGGAACATATCTTTTCTTTCTTTCAGAAAGACTCTTAAAGTAAACGATACCATTTCTGGTTCCTCGGAACCCTCAGTGGGTATAGTCTACGGAAGTATCGTGGAGCAGCTTTTATTCTCTTTTATTTATAAATAATAAATAAATAGGTCTTTATTTTAAGCACAATTCAAAAATACAAGAGAAAAAAAGTTCCAGCTCGACTAAGAAACGGAGTGCCAGATAAACAGCGAAGATCAGATCTATTTTTCTAGTAAAACATATAAACTATTTATTACCCTAACTAATATACCATATAAATAGAACAATAAAATAATTATGAATGAAACGAGTAGGTTTCAATTATAGACTTTTATTGATTTTTGAACTACTCAAATTTCATTTTTAATACTACATTCTATATTGTTTTTTTTTAACTGTTCTGTTCTTTTCTGTTTTTTTAATAATGTTCTGATATGATGATGATGATAAGAGAGAGTCTTTTATAACAAAGTTTTTTGCTTGAGTGAAACAGAATAGTTACTGTACACTTTACTGATTTGAAACGACAATGCCCTTTTAAAAAATTATCTAGGCAAAATCTTGTTGTACAGATCGGTTGACTTCTTGTTTAATACGATTTTATGAAACATACACGCTGCATGTTCCACCACTTGATTTTACTATCACAAAATTTATGAGAAATATGTTGTCTATCACAAATGGGTCTTAGACATGAATTTTGCACTACCTGTATTCTCCGTATGTCTGAAGAATCTAAGCAGGGTCCATAAATAACTCCTCTTTAGTTAAATTTTAATTCTAATATAATACCTGATATATTTGCTTTTTTTACGGAATTGTGTCTGTGTGGTTTAAATCTCAAAGAGCTGTCAAATGTCCATCCAAGGTTTCTAGCTTGTGGGACAGGATCAACTTTTTTTTCGTGGAGTTTTTTTTTCCTTTTCTTTGTACCAAGGATGTTTTTTTTTGGCAGTTATCTTAAGACCGTGGTTATTTGACTAATTACTCATACTAGACATGTCTTCGCTTATCATATCCATGGCCAATAAATAGTTCCCTGGTGAAAAAGATATATGCTACTCAGTATCATCTGCATAATATCTTGGTTTGCAATATCTAATAACTGAGTTCATTTTATATGTGTAACAAATATAAAGGAGAGTTCCTAAAATTGATCCTTGGGCTACTTCGGATATAGCATGCGAAAGATGATTATTATATTTGACTCGTTGGGTTCTTCCTGACAAAAGCTCTGAACAAGATTGCTATTAGAAGACGTTGGTTGATCGTATCAAAAGTTCTTGTAAAGTCTAATACTACAACCGTTATATGTTGTATTCGATCTCCTGCTTCGCATATATCAATAGCCAAGTTTAAAAGTGCCGTTTCACAACTAAAGTTCTTAATGTTTGATTTGATGGTAAAATATCCTTGTCTTAAAAAATTTTTTTTGATAGGATACCCATCATACTATTCGGACGAAGATCTTTATATTAACGAGGACTACTGCATTTTGGCAGAGCGCGAACAATTGCATGCTTCATGCATTGCATGAAATTCAAAAGACCTGTTAGGAATTTAATTGGCGTATGCTTCTATAGTTTTTTCACTAATAGGTAACGTTGTTATGCTGGTGATAAAAAATTCATTTAGTGAATTAACATCAGACAAATGTAACGGTATCGCAGTTTCCCTTTTTCCTATATTCAGTGACTTCAGAGTTGCCCAAATTTGCTTAATTCCTCCAGGTCGCATCTTTTGCTCGAAATATACATTTTTTTCATGTGTACAGGCTACAGTTGCATAAATGCGTAGTAAATAGTGTTTTTTTTTCGATGTATAAAACTTTAAGTTGGCATTACTGTTCAAGATGGCGACCGATTTAACAGCCGTCAAGTGATTTATTCTCAGTTTGGTTTGGCAATTCATCATGAATAGACTCACGCCTGAACAACGCTTGCAAATAGTGCAATTTTATTTCGAAAATAATGGTTCTGTGCGGAATACGTATCGCGCACTACGTTGTTTAGCGATGAAGCGCACTTCTGGTTGAATGGCTACGTCAACTAACAAAACTGCCGCATTTGGGGCGAAGCTATTCCTCAAGTGTATGTCGAAACACCGTTACATCCAGAAAAACTAACTGTTTGGTGCGCTTTATGGGTTAGTGGAATCATTGGTCCGTACTTCTTCAAAAACGATGATGGCCAGAACGTTACAGTCAATGGTGATCGGTATAGAGCTATGATTACTAACTCTTTCATTCCTGAATTGAATAACCGTGATGTCCAGGAGACGTGGTTTCAACAAGACGGCGCAACATGTCACACAGCTAGTGCCACAATCGATTTATTGAAAGACACGTTTGGTGACCGCCTAATTTCACGTTTTGGACCTAGACTACTTTCTGTGAGGCTATGTAAAGTCATTGGTCTATGCGGATAAGCCACAAACGCTTGACCATTTGGAAGTCAACATTCGCCGTGTTATTGCCGATATACGGCCACAAATGTTGGAAAAAGTCATCGAAAATCGGACGTCCAGATTGGAGTACATCCGCGTCAGCCGTGGCGGTGTAATGCCACAACATTATCTTTCGGATAAATAAAATTCATGTCAATCGAATAATCCATCGTTGTTTTATTGCAACTTAAAGTTCTATAAATCGAAAAAAAACCCTATATTTTATAATAGTCCGGCTCTGCTTCTCTTCTAAACCTCTTCCACTCTGACTTAGCCTTATCTCTCAAGGTTATCAGATATTGAATATTGTCAGTAAGCCGGACTGTACTGTTTGCTCACTGTCATGGTTTTTAAGGGTACATGTTTATCAAACAAGGATAAAATTTGTATGGTAAAGAAGTCTAGTTTCGCATTTGAATCAGAAATGTTGTAAACGTAATCAAATGGTGTTCAAGCAAAAAATGTTCTTCATTCACATTACTGAAATCCCTGATTAGCTTAAATGTAGAAGTGTTTTTATTTTTATCCAATTTTAAAGAACAAAAAATTAAATCAGGATCGGATAATTGATCCGCAGATATCACACCGGAATTTTTAAT